AGTTAGAGAGGAGGGAGGCATAGGGAACAGCCAGGCAGGGAGGACTGGAGGAAAGAAGGTGATGAGGTAGGGAAGGAAGTCTCACCTTAGGGTCCCGAGAGTGCAAAGGGCATAGCACCTGGAGTCGCTTACAGTACTTCTTAGTCTGTGGGTCATAGACATCACAGAAGAGTCGTGTGGCCCTGGTGGGAAGTAGAAAGTGAGGTGCTGAGGATAGCAAGAAGGGAGGTCCCACCCTAAACCCCGCCCATACCCTGTCCCCAACTCTGCTCACATCTGCCTCCAACTCTGCCTCTGAGTCCACCCACCTTGCTCACTCTTGCTCCCAATTCTTTCCACATTGGGCCTCTGGCCCTGACTAATAACCACACTTACCCCTCAATGCAAGTAGGATACAGGGACTCAAAGGTTGACTGGCATTTATACTGGCAGAAAGAGCACATATGGGAAGAATTGTGGATGCATCCTGCATGCCCTCCCCTGACAAAGCCCCAAACGACACATCTGACTCTGTGGACTCTATGCTCCTGTCTGCCCAGCCAATGCTGCTCCTCACCACTAGCTAATATCCTGACCTTAGCTCTCATACTGGGGATAGAGGAAGAGCACAAATGGTTGGAGCCATGGATGTGTGTTGCATTCATTCCTACAACAAATATCCAGCCACCAAACCTGTCCCCTATGAACCCCAAACATGCTCCACCCTATCCAGCCAAAAACATCCTTGCCCTATACAATGTCCACCCAATGCTCTAACCTTGGTAAAGCAGCGCTCCATGTGTCGCAATGCGACACGCATACTGATGGGTTTTCCACAGGAGACACAGAAGATCTGCAGGTCTGCGCTGTCCCTGTCAATTTTGTAGCTCTAAAAGGAGCAATGGAGGGGCAAGTGAAGCAGCACAAGATGGCAAAGGGCAGGGAAAGTTACCGGGTACCTTGTTGCTCCACCCACCCATGCCCTCTCACTTCCTCATCCATGCACACAGGCTGCTGCTTGCCATGCAAAATTATGGCCTCAAGTTCATGGTAACGGCGCTCCATGTCCCTCAGGCGAGTGCGGGTGTCCTGCTGCTCACTGTGGATGCGCTCAAGCATTTTCTTGCCATACTCCTCAGCAACACAGGGGCTGTTTTGCCACTGCTGAATGCGCGGGGGTAGGATCATGTAGATGCGACTGGAAGGGGTGACAGCAAGAATTAGAATGGGGGGAAGGGAGAATCGAAGGAAGAAATAGATGAGTGATCATATGGTAAATGTATGGGATATTGAATAATGAGTGTTTAATAGAGACTGAAGAGTGAAGGGATAGCATGGGTGGAGGAATGAGTGGGCAGGTAAACGTAAGGATGGTTGGGTGAGTGGGTGAATGGGCTTAGAGATCACATCCGGCTTCACCTCTTGTCACTTAGCCTCCGGGTACACTCACTCAGCAGCCAACTTCATGCCACAGTCATCTGAGCAGTACTTGGAGCCTGGCCTGGCAGGATACACACAGCCAGGTCCCAGGCACTGCCGCAGTGAGACTGGGTCCTCCGCATCACTCTGCTCTGGGTGTTTATCCTCCTCTGGGTGCTTTGGGTCCGGTTCTTGATTATCATTCTGTGGGGCAAGAGTTGTTAGGGCAGGATCAGGGGACTTGATTTCAGCCACCAACGCCTGTACCACTGCCCTGTATTCCACCCCCAACATCTGCCTCCATAACCCGCGTTCCATAATTTATGTCACCTTCCACTCCACCATTTTTTTTGAATTATCCACATGCTTCATCTTCATGGTCCGCTTCCGTGACACAGGCACAGGCACAGGATCCAGGAATGGGAGTTCCTTGGTGTCACTCATTTAGGGCTGCAGGCCAGGGACACGCTGACAGGCTCTCTGCAATCAGTTCCTTGAAATGGTATTTGAGCACTCACTACCTCCTCTACCCTCATTGCCTTCATTATCCCCAACCTTCCACCTCTGAGCCCCACGACACATGCACAAGGCTTTGATAGAAACAAAGGCCCCCTCTGCAAGAGTCCTGAAATAAGTAAGTCCCCAGGCAGGAGCTACAGACAACAACTGGAGTATGACTGTTGTCTGAGGTGTCCCCTCCCCCTTTTAAAATTTGTTACAGGGCACATGCGCTCACCAGAGAGAGACAGAGAGAGAGAGACAGAGAGAGAGAGAGAGAGGAAAAATGAGAAAGCACCCCCCAGGGGGAATGGCCATGTCGCAATCCCTTCTCCTCCATTCTCCTCTCAAGATTTTTGGGTGTGCATGCACACACGCCCGGCATGTTTTCCAAGCTGCCAGGTCCAGGACTTGAACCGCACAGTCAGCCATGTGGGATCCAGCCGCCTTAACCACCACGCCACCAGCTGGCTCTCAGGTGCCTCCTTTTTAAAAAAGAAATTTTTCAGTTTATTTACTTATTCCTCCCAGGAGTAAAAGAGACAGAGAGAAAGAGGGAGAGGGAGACAGCACCCTCAAAAAGGTCTTGACACCAAGATTTACCCCCAGCCTCAGCCAGCCCCAGATCACAGGCATGTACATGCCTCCTTTCCTGCCAGTGGCACCACTGTTGTCTGGTACTTCTGGGTCAACAGGACTTACACATTTGAGGTAGTTGTGGAGTGGGAAGTAGCCAGTGGGACCATAGAAAGATCTCCAAAGATGTTCTAAGCAAAGAGCTGAGAGGCAGACCTTCGGCACCAATTCCATTCATCTACCCTGTGTCCAGGGACCAGGGATTATTACACGTATGATTTCTGTGCTTCTGAGAGGAGGGCTCTGAACCTCACTAAGTGTGGTGACAGACCCATCCTACCCAACACCTTTGGCCTCACCTAGGTCAACCTGGCCTGGGCTCACAGCACCTGCCTGGATACATGAGGCCTTGCCTAGCAGACAAAACCTGGCCCTGCCTACCTATCCTATCCAGACATACCTGGCTGATTTACCTGGACACATCTGGCCCCATTCTGACTACGTGGATACATAAAAACCCTCCCTCTCTGCCTAGAAAAGTTAGGCTCCTTCCCTTCAGACTTTCTCGCCTCAGCCTGGCCAGCCCCTTCCTTCGAGGACACTCTTGCTACTCTGCTGCCCTGAACCATAGACCCAGACAAGCTCACCTCTGCCAGCCTGCCCAAATATACTTGGCATGTTCATGTACACCTGCCCCCCAGGCATGTTTGGCCTATCTGCTTGCCTTACCCAGTCCACCTATTTTTTCCAGGCCCCATCTGTCCAGACTTGCCCTCCTAGACATACTCTGTTACACTCCCTTCATGCCAGCCCCTGCCCTCTGGCCAGGTTCTCTCAGCCCCACATGCTACTCCTCCGTTTTCCCTGATATACCCAGTTCTACCTCACCTCCCAACACAGTGAGATATGTCAAGCTTTTCTCCCCTCCCCACCAATATATTGGCCCTGCCTGCTCTGATCCTCCCACCTAAAATAATTTGAAAAGTGCCTGTACCTGTACCTTGTACACCACTTAAAATACATAAATATACAACTATAAATATGTAAATATATGTTTATATCTGTGTATACATGCATGCATGCAAACAAGTCAATATTCTCAGTGATTAAGAGAGCAAACACACATAGGAAGGACACACGTTTTGAACAAGAAAATTATTAGCTAGAGAACTCATACTATCTGTAAGTCAGAGACACAATATTAATAAAAAATGACTCTGAACTTAGCCTTAAAGAAAATCTAAACACATTCCAATAACGAAGCATCACACAGCACACAAATAAATTGTGTTCGAAATCAGTAAAAGACTTAACTTTTGGAAATTGGAAGTGCACATCGAAATAACTCTTGGTAAAGAGAAAAATAGATGAAATTAGAAAGCTCCTAGAAATTAACTACAAAATTACTTAGAACTCAATTACAAAAACCATACATACCCAAATTTCGATCTGAGATGGAACTTTAAGAAGAGAATATGAAAAAGACGGAAATTGCTTATCAGGGCATTCAATTAGTAATAACCAACTCAAGTTAAAGCAGTGCCCCTCCTCGACTCCAAAGAAACACGCGATCAACTTCAAAATCCCCTTCAATAACCCAAACGTGCCCCGCCTCCGATCACTAAACCCACAGGCCCTCATCAAAGCGCTGGCAAAATACCTCAGCGCCCAAAGGCGCCAAACTGCGCGGAGTCTCGGGCAGGTGCAGTAAAAAGGCGATATAGAGCCACTTCCGGTTCTGGTAGTCCCGCCCCTTTTTTAATATGCTCTGTTAGCGCTTGCTGGAGACCCCTTGAGGAGCTGCTGTACCACTTGAAGTACGACGACTGCGTTTTCAGAGAAACCGTGCTACTGTGTAGGTAATTTTGCAGGACACCACCACAGGCCTGATGGTTACATTTGTCTCTTCTGAGGTCAATGTCTTACTGCGTCATGGACTGGAGGTGGCTGGTCATTAAATTATTGTATAATAGAGCAGGAGAAATTCCTCCTCTTATCAGTTCCAATTATTTTGAATGATGTCATATATTACTGTTTTACTATCTGCGATTATTTTAGTAACAAGATAGGCAATGAAAAATACTAACTGAAACCATGTAAAGCAATTTTTTAAAGCCAACAAAGTAGAAAAAGATGTATCAAAAGCTCAGGAAAATTATAAAGCAACAACAAGAAAGCAGGAATAAGTTCATATTTGATGTTCAGACTTTATTACACGATCGCTATTTTTTTTAAGGTTTTTGCCATAGGGCCCATGTGCTAGCAGGAGAAAGACAGAGAGAGGAAGTGAGAAATCTCCCCTCCCCAGGGGTGATGGCAATGCTGCAATCCCTTCTCCTCCATTCCTCTGGATTTGGGGCACCCACGCACACATGCCAGGTCCAGGGCTCTATCTACAGTCTGCCATGTGAGAGTCTAGCACCTTAACCACCATGCCACTTGCTGGCCCCCACGATCAGTAATTTTTTTTGGGGGGGACAGGTTTTGCTATAGGGCACGTGCGCTCGCCAGACAGAGACAGACAGAGAGAAGGCGAGAAATCACCCCCCCAGGAGGGATGGCCACGCCACAATCCCTTCTCCTCCATTCTCCTCTCGGGATCTTGGGCATGCACGCACACACGCCCGGCGTGAGTTTAAGCCACCGGGTCTGGGACGCGAACTGAGGTCGGCTACATGGCAGTCCAGCGACATAGCCATTACTAGCTAACTGCTGGTCCCAACGATCAGTAATTTTTAAAGTTGTTAGTGGAGTAAACTCTCCTGTTAAAGATTATCATTTTGGATGAAAATTAAATCTAGCCATATTCTGTTTATGCCAAACCTAGCAAATGATAGGGATACAGAAAAGTTTGAAAGGGATGGAAGCAAATTTCACAAGCACCCACTAATCAAAATAAAGCGAGGCCAGTCATATTTATATCAAACTGAAAAGGATAAGATAAAAAATATTTATTGGGATTGAGAGAATAATTTTATAATGATTCAATTCATGATGAATATGTAAAATGTCAATCTTATACATGAGAGGCTCTTCAATAAGTTTATGGAAAATGTGTACAATGAGAGTTCCTTCTGCATGATTGCTGGGGAGAACCTGCCACTGTGCTGACCGTGCTCTGCCGGACACGGTGTCCATGGAGATATTTTTGCTGTAGGGCATGTGCACTCACCAGAGAGAGATTGAACTTCCAAGTTTGTGAAGAAACTGCCCATCCACTAGATGACTAGAAATCACTGCAGGACCACAAGAAATATGGGAAAGCAGGAAAATACCTCTCCTCCAAGGGAAAAGGATAATTCCTCTTCATCCACACACAGTTCAATGGAAATCATGGAAATGTCTGATAAAGAATTCAGAACATTCATAATGGCAAAGCTAACAGAGATGGAAGAGAAGAGAGACAAGGAACTGCTGAAGAGGAAGGAGAAAGGAGTTGAAGAGTTCCAGGAGGTGAGGAAATTCATGCAAGATCTAAAAGAGGAATTTCACACTTTACAAAAGAATCAGATGGAACTGTTAGAGATGAAGGCTATAATACAAGAAATCAAAATCTCCCTTGAAAGTATTAAAAGCAGACTAGATCATACAGAAAATAGAATCTCTAATGTAGAAGAGAAAATGGTTGGCCTAGAAAAATCCACCGCGAAGACTGAGAAAATGGCCCAAAAATTTGAGAATAATATGCGAGAAGTACTAGATACCATCAAACGTCCAAACATCCGGATAATAGGCATCCCAGAAGGTGAAGAGACTCATAAGGGCATTGATAATCTATTCCATGAAATCTTACAAGAAAATTTTCCAAACCTGGAGAGGCACTCAAAGATTCAGTCCCAAGAAATACAGAGGACCCCAAATAGAATCAACCCAAGAAGATCTTCTCCAAGACACATTATAGCCAGATTGACCAAAACCACAGACAAAGACAAGATACTAAGACTGGCAAGAGAAAAAAGGCAAGTTACCTACAAAGGGTATCCCATCAGACTAACGGCAGACCTCTCATCGGAAACAATGAGAGCGAGGAGAGAATGGGAAAATGTATTCAAAGTATTAAGGGAAAAGCAATTTCAACCGAGAATTCTGTACCCAGCAAGGTTATCGTTCATTTGGGAAGAAAAGACACGAACTTTCCCAGATAAACAAAACCTGAAAGAATTTACCAGCACCAGACCGGATCTCCAAGAAGTTCTTAAGGGAGTGCTATGTCAGTAAAATTAAATGCAGACACACAGAAATAAGAGTTCAGAAACTAAGAAAATGGGCAACTTAATTGTAGGGCCAAAAGCTGGAGTTGAGTATTACATCCCAGATTTCAATCTGGAACATCGAACCTCAACAGATACAGAAGAAAGATTAAGTACATGAGACTGAACTGATGAAACAGTATTCTACGACTTGACTAAAATATTGCTG